TTTTATTCCACACAGGACTACCTGCAGTGCAATAAATTATTGTTTGGTGCAGTAATTCATCTATTATTAATTAATAATCTGATACCTAAAAACTGCAGTGATAAACCTAAAATTACAAATAGCCAAGTTCTCGCTTCCTACAGTCTTCTGGCAGACAAACGAGGGATTCTGCCTTGCAGTTGCCCGAAGAGCTTGGTTACCTGAGGTCTGACCACAAAGATTAATGGTTTCCATAAACAACTATTATATTGTGGGTCAGTCATGTGCGATGCCTTCGTTTCCTGGTGAAGCATTCCCTAGCCCTACCCCCAGCATGCCCATCTACGCCCCCAGTGCACCGAAGCCCCGCCCATATCCCTCAGAAGCCCTGTGACATCTCGACGAAGCCTTGGCTAGTGTGAAGGAGGGAGGAAGTAGGAAAGGAGGAGACAGGGGGGACCCTCCCTGTCCCTCACTTGCTCGTCATTGCTGAGGCATCGAGATCAATGGCTTCAGTGGGTTGTTTTTTTGTTTTTTTGACTGGACAGCTTGGACCAATGGCACTTTGCCATTGGTCCAAACCATCCACAGAGCTCACGCCTCTAACAAATAGTAGATGCTGTGACAGCTTTTGCCTTACTAGTTAGGTTACACAAGCAGTGGGGAAGCAGTCAAAAACGGGATGCAGCACTGCCTGTAATTAACAGACAGCGCTCCGTCCATGACAGGTTACACAGCGGGAAGGATTTCCCTGCTGTGTAACCTGTTACAAGCCGATCTGAATGGAGAAAAAGCTGTCAGCTTCAGACTTGAAGCTGACAGCTTTTTCCTCCATAATACTAGGTGAGGCTTTGCCTCACCTGCTTCCGCTCGCAGCACGTACCTGTGGTAGGTGAACCAGTGGCTAGACTATGGACATTTAATATTTTAATAATCTTAGCAGGCAGTAAATGAGCCCTAAAATAAGCTCTCACTAATCTCTGTAGCTGCAGGCACTGTGGAGCAATTCATCCTCAGCATTTACAACATAAGTACTGAAATGCTTAAAGGAATACTGAATTTGCCAAATTGCCATGCAGGGCAAAGTAACAGTGTCTCTGCAAAGCAGTGGCGTCACTACAGGGGGGCAATTGCCCCCCCTGTTTTATGCTTTGCCCCCCCCCTATCAAGCATCTGTATAACCTGCATACGCTTCCACGCCAAGCGTATACGCGCGCACGCGCGCGCAGTCGGCGTGTTTTTGCATGGCGTGTTTGTGGCGTGTTTGTGTGGTTAGTAAATCAACCCCAAAGTGTTGGAATGATTGACCTGATGGGCGGGCATACATTCCACCGCTGTAAAACTGGGCAGGTATACACGCGCACAGCACTGACAGGCATCACTCCACTACCAGTGTTCTATAATTTTCCTCAACCCATTAATGTCTCTACTGCGTCACTTCCAGGTGCGCATGTCATGAAGAAAGGCGGTCATGAAAACATCTGATTCGGATGACTCGGCCCACTGGAAGTGACACAGTCGAGAAAATGTATAGGATCGAGAAAAATTATAGAACACTGACTTTGACACTGTCCGGCCCTCCCACAGCTGCAAAGGGTTCCTTGACCCCGTTTATACTTACAGTAGTAGTACTCCCCCACCGCTCCTTTACTACTCAACAGCTGGTGACAACATCTGGCACTTTTGGGTATGGAGGAGCATGTGAACTCTTCCCCTGTGACAGTTCTTGGGTCTAGCAGCCAATCACTAGGTGCAAGCAATTTCACATAACCGGGGGAGTGACAACTCTACTTCCTCAATGTCGCTTACACCAGTCATTTCTGGCTATAAAGACAGAAGGATTGGTGAGGAAGCACAGCAGGGAAGGTGAGTATAAGGGGGTTGGTTGGCCTTTTGCAGAGACACTGTCACTTTTCCATGCTTGAGCAAGGCAACAATGTCTACTTATATCGTTCTTTCAGCTGCTTACTTCACTCCTGCCTCCCAGAGCACCTGCTGAGAGGGGGGAGCAGAATGAGCTGAGCTGCTGAGTATGGATGAGCGGAGTTATTTTTAGCTACATTGATTTCGCAGCCAGCAAAATCTTACCAAAAAGGAAACTTAGTTTTGCTGAATGAGTTGCAGTTCTATTGGGTTTTTTATTCATTTAAAGGTTTTTTTTGGGGGGGGGGGGGGGGGTTAGTTTTTCATGTAGTGTTCATTATTTATGTCTTTTTACCTTTATTGTGTGTCATTTGTGTTGTCTTTTTTGTACTTGTTTGTGCTATTGGTTTTGTAATTTCTGTCTAAAAAAATAATTATTATTAATAAAAGGGCAAATGAGGAACTATTTTTGGCACAGTAACAGGTTGGACGGGTATTACATAACGCTCAGGAGCCAATTGCACATATTTTTTTTAAAAACTTATTTTTGCTTTTCCCCTCAATGCTAATGCATTACACCAAAATCAATTAAAATAAATCTTCCAATTTTTTTGTGAAATTTTGGGGAAATAAAAACTTAATTGATTCTGCTGTAAATTTTGAGGCTGAATTGCTCCACAGTGGCCAGTGACTACATAGGTCAGTGGGGGTCTCATTTTAAAGCATATTTACTGCTTATTAAGAATTTGTAAAACTTGAATGTCTATAGCCAGGCCATGAGTTTACTTTAAGGTAATGTTACAATGCCAGATATCACCAGTGGGTGACATCACTGGTGAAATCCAAAACTGCAAATATCTTCCAGAGAAAAAAACTAAATCTGTGGAAGAGTAAACCCTTCCATGTTATCACATTCAGGAATCTAAAATAGGGGTTTTCCGTTTTTCCCATTTAAAGTGTATTTACACTTTAATACTCGAATTTGAGAAAACCCTATACTGTATGTTTGTTAGGTGTTCCCATTTACACAGCATAACTAAAAATAATGTAAGTATGTTGTGTATGTTTTAGCTATTTCTTTGGTGAAGGCCTTTGTGCAGATTACAGGCTACTTTGAGCAGTGTTTAAAGTGAAAGTAAAGGGACACACTGTGGGACAGATTAAACTTCCTCTCATTAGCATTCAATGCTTCTAAGTCTTTAAGTCTTTGTTAGGACAGACGGTATTCAGCTAATAATGAAATAGGTCAGCACACTAAAGACAGAGTTAATTAGAGTAAACATAACTTCCCACAGTCTCCTCCTTAAGAGTCAACTAAGTGTTTTTTCCAATAGTTCTCTTTAGTGTAACTGGAGGACATATACTAACCTTCTCCCGTGACCCGAAGCTCAGTATATTGTGGGCCATTCTCCTGCAATATAGTGAGAGCGCCGCAGCCATGACAGATCCCGACAATACTGTCTGGATCCACCCAGCTGCGTGGTTGACAGCTGGCTCTGCCTATCTAGAACCAGAGCCAGCTGTGCCCGCCCCCTTCCTGTCCGTTCCTCCCTTCAGCGCTGATGGATTGGTGACTGGAGGGGTGGGGGGGGAATCCCTGTGGGGAGCGGTGACTGACAGTCAGCACTTACTACAGGGAGATGATCGGAAGTGAGCAAGGGACGGTATGTGTACGCTCACTTCCCGATCAATAGAGCCAACCTGTGACAGCTTCTTTGTCACAGGTTGGCTCCAACTATGAGGATGAGTGGAAATCACTCACCTCATAGTTCTCCTTCAACATTGCAAAGGGGGGAAGCTAGGTAGAATTTAAAAGTAAAAAAGCACATAAAATGTAAGTAGCAATTTTATTTTGTACGCAATGTGAACGGGAACATGTAACAAATATAAAGTAGGTGTTATTCAGATTTGGCCGCAAAAATGGAAAGTCCAGTTCCTAAGCTCAGACTACCTGCTGATTGGCTAAAAGTATTGGCATCAGCCAGAGCAGAGAGAGAATGGCGAAGATGAAAAAATGGCTGGTATGAGATGTGGGCTGTACTCTGGCACCTCCCTCTCCTCTAGCACCTCCCTCTGGCCACCAAGAGCATGTGTGTGGTCAGAAAGGGAACAACTATACTGGCTGTGCTGACAGTGCCAGGAAAGGGCAGAAGTGTGAAAGCAGATTGGGCTCCAGTCAGTGTCTTGCCAACATTTTCCGGGCATGTTTTTTCATGACTGTCATGTATTGAAACAATTGCCCACGAATTGCCACAATTACTGCAAGTGCACGGTATTCCCCAACAAACCCTCAGGCTCAAGGGGTTACAAAAGCACACAGCAAAAATACATTCAGGGGTTAACTGATAAGACAACCAGCAATGTGCTCATTTTAGTAATGCATTAGATACAATCAGTAATCATATTAGAATAATCGGCCTTAATTAAACTGAAAATTGGTTGCTATGGTTTCATGCACTTTGCATTATTGCAGTTTGCACTGCATTAATACATATGTGTGAGAGTAATAAGGAAGAGTGATGAAAACAGCAGAGTAACCTATAAAATGTAATCACAAATACCAGTCTCAAGTATTATTTTTATTGTTTGCTTTGGGCTGAATATATTGGGCCTGATTTACCAAATTAACTTACATAAGAATTGCCTGAATTGCCACAAAGTAACAGATTAGATCTACAGTTTATGATATAACATATTGTTTTCCCAAGCACATTTGCATCTGATTAATGAAATAGTCCTTGCCCCCAAAAAATTTTAATAAATTAGGTCCTTTGGTCCTTAGCTCACTACTGATATGAGTGAGACCACATTGTTGCTCTTTGAACCTGATTAAAAACATAAAATCAACTTTTGGATCCCATGTATTTCTCAAGTTAGATAATACAGTATGTCATTGTTGCAGAATCATACAGGAATAATAGTAACCTATGTTCCATCTCTTTTGCCCAACTGCTGCCTGCCATTGTAAGCCAAAGATAAAGTGGGGAGGATTATGGGAAACAGCATTCAAATAAGACGTGCACATGTCAATTTATTACTCCCTATCTTTTTTGTCATTGTTTTGTTTTTCAGCTTTTTCAATACAAAGTGAATTTTTGAATGTATCTCTAAGCATGACTGACTACCCAGTGAATCAAGAGAGCCATCTTGTGGCCTACCTGGGAATCTTGAACAGAGCTTTGACTGGATGCATGGAAGACAAAGGCGGGTCTCCATCAGCCAATTCAATGGCTGTAATCCCCAGGGACCAGACATCACAGCGCACATCATACGAGTAATCATACTGCTGTTCACAGGCTATGACCTATTGAAGAGATGAAAGGACGGAGTTACAGGCGTTTTGTAACATGAAGTGTACATGTTATAGCTTTACATAAGGGAATACGGCTTGTTTTATTCTACAATCTAGCCGCTGCTTCTTATTAGACTATACATACAGTACATAAATATACTTACATTTATAATAACAGGCATAAATGTTATACACATACATACATACATACAGCTCCAAATGAAAAATTCTTTGTTCTGTACTTTTTTTACATATATTTTTTTTTTCAATGCTTCCTGCAAAAGAAAAAAAATAATACTTGCCTTTACTTTGCAAATACTCTTTTCTTTTCTTTCTTGAACAGCTATGGGCCTATAAGGTAAAACTACATGCCACTATGGAATATCTTTTACCTGACTCGATAAGTTCATCACAATCCTCTTCTTCGATCTTGGCTGAGCTAATGTAGTGGATTTGTTTCTGAGAACTGTGCTATGGGTGGCAGTGATCTCTATGTTACTGCAGAGCAAGGAAGAGAAGTGTGCACAAACAATGGTGAAATAGGCCGTACCCAAGTGCCACTTGTGGCTGGGGGATTTTTAGTGTGGGAAATGGGCTTTAGGTGGTTGTGCCATCAAGTTGTGTAGTTTACACTATAACAAAATATACATCTATTGCAGACCACGTAAGAGAAATAAATACACAGCAATACACAGCAGAGATATAAGCACTGTATGTGGTTTAGTCAGTTCTGATGACACTATCAAAGCAATATGTAGGAAGTCAAAAGGTCTCCAATTATACTTCTGTACTGGGAAAGCTTTCAATGCCCTGAACATTCGGACTGGCATTGGGCTCAAGATGACACTCTTAAAGCAATATGTAGGAAATAAATGGGTCTCCATTTCTACTTTGGTATTGGGAAAGCTTCCAGTGTGAACAGGGATTTATTAAAAGTCTTTTTTTTCAGAATTTCAGGATATAGTCTGGTCTGTTTAGGAATAAAGGTAATTGTCATTAATGACATATATGAGCCACCATAGACTAGAAAATGTAGGATAAATAGAGAAACCTTTGCCATTGCACAATGGAGCTCACTGAGTCTTGAGCAACCTATTGCCAGGACCAAGCACTATAAAATGTCAGGCATTGGGTGAGCCTAAACTTATGCAAATGCCGAGCTTCAGAAAGTTGGTATTTACAGAGGAACTTTTGCTGTCAAGTGGATTATTATAACAAGTAAGGAGAGATCTGGCAGATTATGGTACCTACTATCCAACAGTAATTTAATCAATCAGCCACAATATAGCAATATTTTTTTTTAAAAGACTTAGTTTTTGCATGTCTCTAAAATGCTAAAACAAATGATGAACACTAATAAAAACAGTTTTATAATCATATAATCAGCGGTGTATTTAGCTTTGCTGCTGCCCTAGGCAAGACAGCAGCAAAGCTAAATACACCGCCCCCCCACCGGACTGACCCGCCGATTCACGGACAGCACCCCTCTCCCGCGGCTTACAGATGACTCATCGATGACGACAAAGCAACGCCACCCGCCATCTGCACACCACCCCAAGCCGCCGTCCGCGTCCCGATGGCATCCCATACAGGTCTGTAACCCTTCTGCAATTGGCCCGCGGGCCGGTGCTGCCCTCAGCGAATCTGCCGCTCCAGGCAAACGCCTTGTTTGCCTCGCGGCAGATACGCCCCTGCATATAATATGAATCTAGCGGAAGTGCAAAGAAAGAGTAAGGATGAGGTGCAAGTGCGATAATTCATAACTGGCTTACTATAGTCAGATGATTTAAGTGAATATTTCTGATTGGTTGCCGTGGGTAATGCTTTCACACTTTCTAACTAAACAAGCCCAAAGATGACATTAGTGCAATAAACCAATTATGTGTCTCACCTCTCTCCTTGGATGCAATACTTCTAAAGAATGCAAATGCTCAGCATCATCTCCTTATGTTGTTCATTCATTAGAAGAAAACTCTGTCTGAACTCCCAGTTCTAAAACTTTTCCATTCATCTATTATTAGATACATTAAAATGGCAGTGATTACCTTTAAGATCTAGATATAACCTCAGGAAAATAAACCCACTTTCAGGTATGCAAAGGCCCGAAAAGGGGGGGGGGGGGGGCTGTAAAGAAACACTTATGCTCTCACAATATTTTATATGTAAGAAAATAATTTATTGTTCACAAAAAATAGTTAAAAACACATTGCATTGTCACAATTGAGAGACTTGTTTACCTTTAAGATCTAGTTGGATATAAAGGACATTCCAAAGGACGGAAGAAAATTCACTGGGGTTTTAAAACCTACATTCGCAGATGTGATGATGAGGCAAAGCTACTGTAATCATTTTCCTTTGTGCAGATATTGTTATGGGTGACACATACCTGATTTACATTTTAATGATCTTGGTGATGGAATGAATATTTGCAAAACTAAAGAAACAATAAGAAGCCACTTACAGTAAAATATATAAATGTAGACAGCGGATTAAAACGATAACGGTTGCATGGAGATGTGAATATAGATGCTGTACAAACAGATTATAATACATAGAAGGCATTTTTATGAAGGTTAAAAAAGACAGGATTTCATATGGTGCGTGAACTGGTATTACTGTATAGCTGGAATCTGTACAATTGGCCTACCTGTATGTTGCTGTGTGAAGTTATGATGAATGCAAGGTGACATATCAGAGAAAAGGGCAGGATTTACATGACGGGTTTATAAAATGCTGCATAATAAAGTGACATTTCAGGACTGTGTAAACTGTTTCTTGCAGCCCTTGGCTGTCACAGAGGCTCACATCACGTTCCCTACTATTTATTGGTTTGGATATTTGTATGTGTATTTTGCTTTAATGCACAGATCAGTCTTGTCAGGGGACTATTACAGTGGCACAGAGGTGACACATCAAGGTCACCGGGTCAAAATGTGGCATGGGGCCACCCATTTCCACTGCTGCCCCTCTGTGGAAGATGCAGCTGTTTAGTTCTAGCATTGGACTTGGTTAAAGTACATCTAACCAAATCACTACAATCTCACATAAGGTTTACTCTGTTAATGTTATTTAAAGGACACTTATGGGTAGAGTGAAATACACTCATCCCTGTAATTAGAGCCAACGTGTGACAATGAAGCTGTCACACGTGGGCTCCATTGATCAGGAACTGAGTGATCACATACCGCTGAACACTCAGTTCCCGATCATCTCCCTGCAGAGAGTGGTGACTGATAGTCACCACTCTCTGCAGGGATTCCCCCTCACCTCTCCATTCTTCCAGCGCTGACTGGAGGAACGGATGGCAGAGGGGGCGGACAACACCTCTGGAGAGACAGAGCCAGCTGTCAATCAGGTAGCGGGGTGGACCCCGACAATATTGTGAGTTTTGGCTTAAAGGAAAACATTAGTATATTAGAATTATGGCAAAAAGGTTGGGCCATAGTTCTCTTCTAATCTCCTTAAATCTTCAACTTTCATTAAAGTAACAATAGGTGATTCTGCCATGAAGGTCTTATTTAGGCACTTCCTGTCCACTATTTTCTCCAGAAGGAAGCTGATCCAGAGCATGATATGAAGCAGAAGCTGCAGTGACTGCATGTAGGCAAGAAGTGGCTGAAAGAGACTAGATGAGATCGTCAGCCCTGAGATACAAAAAATAAATAGATGAAAACAAGATTTTATGAAAAAAATTTATTCTAGTTGTTTACCATACATAAAGGGCCCTTCACACTCATTCACTCTGCACAGAGTAATTTGAATTGGCTGCCATTGTACCATGACAAACAAAAAAAACCACACTTGCACACCTTTTTTTGGGGCAGGGTAAACCACAAAGCACTGTAATGGGTTACAGATCGTTGTGAAGTGCTAGAACGCAGGTAGATTGGTGTGGCATTTCAAATAAATGTTACCCCAACACTTAAATGCACGTATGATGTGTTACTGCTCGCAACACATGCAATGAAGTGAAGCCAGCCAGAGGGATGAGGTTTGGAGTGGGCATGAACTGCACGAGCCTTGCACTCATGATATGAAATTGGGACAAAAGACATTTGCCCCACAGGTCACTTGTGCTTTTAGATATGAGGGCTAGTACCTACAGTGCAGTCAGTACATGTGATCAGCTATATCCAGTGCTACAGTTTTATCTCTTGATTTTTGGTGCAGATTATTTGGCATGCTTTTTTCTGACAAACAATTTTGATACAAAAGACACTATATTACTATTACTATACAAAAGACAATGTGATATTGTCTTTTGTATAGTAACTTTAGTGATCATTTTCATTGTAATAATGCATAGGTTCAAGGTTAGGAGTTAGATGGAGTTTAAGGAGTAAGTTGGTGAGGCTCAAAATCTAGCTCAAGTTAAAAGGTTATATTTAGAAGTATGTTCGGGTTAAGAGCTCTGCTTACATAAATGCTGAGTTTTAGGGGTAAAATTGAATTAAAGCGGATTTCTAGTCAGAACCTAATAGTTTTGGATAAATTAGGTAATGACGAAAAACATTTTTAATCCTTTTTTTTTTTTACATTTTTGCAGACTTTATTCTCTTGGGGAAATTTCCCCCTTTACTTTACACAAGAGGAAGTGAGGGGAAAACTCTCTTAGGCAGCTGACACTGGGACAAGCATCCCCATTTGAAGATATTCCTTGAACTCTTTTTTTAATAAAAATAAATGTATAATTTTGGGTTTCCCATCACTTTCTGGCCTGTTTGCAATGGTCACCCAAACATACAAGGGGGCAAATCTCCCCAATAGGGACACAGACAGCCCAACTCTGGACAAAACATACCAGGGTTATAGCATTACACATTCTGTATCCCCAGAAGCAACCATGTTGGTTTTCTTCTACATCCGGCAAATCTTCTTGTGTACATGCCTGGTTTAGTACAGTACTGTACAGGTCCTGCTGTACTCCAGCGCTGCTCAACCCGGGGGCTGTGTATTTTGTGAATGGCCTGCAGGAGACACAATAGCTGGGGTCAACGACACATCTGAGTTGCCCGGATGTACAGCTGAAGCAGTATTAATCCGGCATCTTAACAAGCAGATTTGAATGATGTGGAAGAAAGCCAGTGTGGTGTGCTATTAGTTGAATACAGAAGGTGAGAGGCAGCAGAGCCAGACTCTGAACAAGGAAACCTGAGTGAAATACATACCAAACCACACCAGGATTTGGGGAACCTGAATCGGACTACGGGGCCCCTCTACCAGAGCTCAGAATGCTGGGATATATGTGATATAAATGATGATGTTGGCAGTTGATCGTTTATGTAGAATACACTTATTTCATACATGGTATTGGGATTGGTAGTTACAGGAACATATAAGTAATGGGAGATACACCAAGGAATGGTTTGAAGGTGCAGCATGACACCTCATCATCCTCCTAAGCCTGACATCAATGACCAAAAGGTATTTGGGACAGTGTCAAACACAACCCAGAACTCAAACATTTGTCACTGTGCAGGGACCCCCTGCAATCTGCATCCACCACTTTGGAGATGTTTCTGTAGGTGACTTTTGCTGCAAATATATACGCTATTACAGAGTTCTGGTGAACGTACTGCTAAACTTTAGCATTTAAATGCCGACAGAGTGCAAATACATTATGCCCAAATGATTGGTTCTAATTTTAGATAAATAGTGAGTAAAAGTAAACAGCCCTGAAGCTATTAACCTGAAGCTGACCTTGAGTCCCACGGTGTAGTCAGCAGACCTGTGAATTAGGCTTGATGAGTGGCAGGAGAAATCTCCTGTAATGTGCTGCAATTATCCACTTGCAACATCATCCGATACACAGGGTGCACACTATGCTCAAAGACTACATTGAGGGCAACATGAAAGGGAAATAGAGCAGGGAGGAAACAGGTGGGCTAGACTTTCACGGTAATAACAATAGCTTATTGAACATTAAAGAGCCAATTGTCTGCATACAATCAAGAAATAAATAATGAATTCTTGCGTGTTTCATTCAAACTTCAGCTTGACAAAAAGGTTCAGTGAATGCATATACTACATAGAAAAAAAATATTGTGATTACGCTGAACTATTTCAAGAGTATAAAAGGTCTGCAACTGAAATTTTGTAGTTCTGGCATTTGTCAGAATGGTTGTTTGTACAAACTCCAGTAGGGCACTTTCTGCATGTGAACCTCAGTACTAGTACCAGCTGTGGACTAGTCTTCCTATATAAGGCTTCTGAGTCAATGACCAGTTATGGCCATCCTTGATCAAGATAACAGTGGCATCTTCATGTGCCCGCAGCCACCAGCTGAGAGGAGGAATCCATTGTGTTCTGAACTGTCCCCAGTGTGTTATCTCTACCTGGACGTCACGCACCACCTGTAAATCTGGGGGCTCAACATTCACAAATACAATGGTATAATGCTTTTGAAGAAAGCTTACGAAACACAAGGCAAGTGTGGAAGCACACAAAACTTTATTGACAACTTATTTCTATCTGATAGCGTTGATGTAAAGTGTTTTTCTGCAATAAGGAAGAGTGACCTGCCAGGACTGCAAGGTTCTGCTTATTTCTTTAAAAGTCATATGCCAGCTAACCTCCCATTATTGTGTGGCAAACCTGCACAAACCCAAACTCTACTCAAATAGTTCCTAGCTAGATTTGAACCCATAACCTTAGCACTACAAGTTCAAGGCGGTGACCATTTAACCAGTGCACTGCCTGTGCAATAATGCATAAATTCATATTCAGTAAACTCCTAGTTATTCGGCACCCACGGGGATTGGTAGATGCCAGATAATTGTAGTTTCTGGTTGCTTGAGAGTTAATATAACTCTTAAGCAACCCCCTGCAGTTCCTAAATATATGTAATTGCTAACAACATTTTTTTAGTGTCCACCATGTCTAACAAGCAACCGCAAAAAAACTCAAGGTATGTCCTTGATTTTTTTTAGCCGGTTGCTTGAATGCCAGATAATTGGGAGTTTACTGTTTATCACTCATTTAGAGCTGTTGTACTTTACCTGCTAGAACTAGTTGTATGTCCATTTTATGTCTCTATTTACTATAGCAACACCCATGGGCCAATAGCTAGGGCAGCAGGAGTAAAGGTGGTAGCTTCATAATTTACAAAGTGTAAATTCTTTTGCATATTTTCTTTCCATTTACTGCCTATTTCTAGACATTTAAAGTGACACAAAACTCAGGAGTTAAATCTGAAAAATACATTAGAGTACCTGAACTATTAACAAAAATGTATCTTATTTGTGTATCACTCGGCTGTAGATTCCCAAATCATCTCTGGATTGTTGCTGACACTGTCCTTCCTTCTGGAGGGGGACTACTTATGTTTCCCATGGTTCCTGTGTGTGTTGTAAGGTAGCCATCGCTCCAAGCTCACTGCTGTCATGGACTACAATCTCACTACAAATTAGTAAACTATGTGAGAGTGTAGTCCATCACAGGAGTGAGCTTGCAGCAGTGGCTACTTTACAACACACACAGGGACCAATGGGAACAAAAGTACCCACCCTCCAGAAGGAAGGACAGTGCCAGCATGAATGATGAGATGATTTGTGGATCTACAGCTGAGTGATACACAAATGTCATCTTCATCCTTAGTATCAGTAGTAGCCACTTGGCCCCAGACTCAGGCCTCAGTGAGAGCACATAGCTATTCCCCTAGGCTTCATGCCTAGCAAAATCAGTCAGTCAGTAGCAGCCTCCACTCAGGCAAGGAGCAGGGGAGACATGTTTCGTCCCGAATATTTATGTCCTCTCCCAGCATGCACCACTGACCATGAACCTCCTAGTGATTGGCCAGTGAGACATAGTTATTCATAACAATCTCTTATTGGTTGCTCTGCTCTGTGGCAAGGATACCCCCAGCAGCAGGCAGATGCAAACGATAACAGATTGCTTAGGGGAAACCAAATGAGCATAGACTACAAATCAGCATCAGATTCCTGCCTACAGGGTGATACACAAATAAGATACATTTTTGTTAATAGTTAAGGTATGTAAATACATTTTTACAATTTAACCCCTGAGTTTCTGTCACTTTAAGGTAAATTCAGCAACAGAGTCAGAAGACTATAAAGTTCAGGAAACATTAAATAATTTCTTCTTTCCCTTGTTTGGCTGTATGTACAACTAAAATATATATAAAGCAGAAAGCATGTATACTCCAATGCCACATTCTAGCTGTAGTTGTTTTTTTTAACTAAAATAATCACATGGCACAAGGGGTGGAGCTTTACATAATCATTTAGATATGCTTAGGGTGGTAGGAAATCCAAATAAAGCCCCATCCAGGGGTGCTGGGAAGGGTAACATGGTGCTGGAAATCATATAAGAGATAAATGCAGTACCATTCCTGACCCATTTCCAAAAAAAAATAAAAAAATAGTTGCCCAAGTGTCATGCTGATGCTGGATTCCTGGCCTGGATACCTGGCCCTGGTATAATGCACCCGAAATCCTGAAAATTAGCCAACCCTCAAGAATGTCAGATAGTGTAACTAGCATCCTTGCTGAATGACTACTGCATCAATATCAATTACATTATGAGCCACCTGGAGGGTGTTTTTTGAAAGTTTTTTTTAAACAGGTTTTGTGTAATGGTAACAGTACAAGAGTTTTAACAGTCCCACAGCCTTCAAAAACTTTAACCGTTAACTGCTCAGCAACAGTCCAGCAACTGTTTAGAAACATTAAATAATGCTAGATGAAAACTAACCAAAGACTTTATATAAGCACAATGCAAAAAACAGCTAACATATCAAATTTGCAGTAGAAAAGCTGTTTAAAAAAATCTTACCTCTGGCGCCATCCAGAAAGGAGTACCCACAGACGTATTTCTGCGAAGACGTGCACTATTGAGCTGTGCTGAGACCCCTGTTGTATATAAAAGTACAAAATAAATGTTTATTGAGCCAGTGATTTAATTGTCAAATGTACTTCTACCCAGGGCCGCCCTATAATGAAGCAGCTGCAGGTGTTTGCCGCAGACGGCATCTCATTGGGGGGCAGCCAGGTGGTCAGGGGATTCGGTAAGGGAGCCCCCACAGTGTCACAGGTGATGCTCTGTGCAGATTCCCATCCTGCTGAGCACCTGGCAACCAGTGACATCAGTGAGCTAGGCGGAACGCCGGAAAGAGCCACTGACAGTGCAGTCTGGTGTCCACCCCCGCCCCTCCGCCCCAGAAAGACAATTGACCCAGTGACTATTCCCTTCCAGCACCCAAAGCTCCCCAGAATGACAAGTGACCCAGGAATCATTCCATGCCAGCAATCAACCTCCTCCGGACCAACATTGCCTCAGGCGGCGAAAACCTTAGGGACAGCCTAGCTTCTAACTGTGTATTATGCAGTTGAGAAACATAAGATACACTTTCAGGTGTTCCTCCTACATTATGTAATAATCTGTATTATATATTTAAAGCCTAACTCCACCAACACTTTATATACTGGTTTTGGATATAGTGGAAAAGTCTGTCCAGTTGTAAATGCTGCATTAGGTAGATTTCCCTCACGTCCTACTCTGACAACCATCACCTGGATAGGAAGTTAGGGGAATCATCCCAGTGGGGGTCACAGGTGGCATTAAACATGACCGAAATACATCCTACAATAGCCGTAAGAATGGCCCTTTGAAAGGCAAAAGATCTGTCTTTGTGGGCTGCTATATGGCTAAAACTATGCAGACAATATTCAGTTGCTCTGCAGCATTACCTGAAAGTACACCGACTTTCCCAAGACCTACTGCAGTCTTTGCCACAAATGTGAGTGGGTTTGACCTGCTACAAGGGTGGCTTAAAACTGCAATTAATGGTGGCATTGTGCAATATTTGCTGTTGATTGCAGGTTCCTTTAACTCATGGAGCAAGCCACCTTAGTTCACATTGTTACAAAGATCACTATCTCCTGTGTTGCTAAAAGTAGCTAAATATAGCCTAAGACCTCCAGATCTCTTCTTCAATGACAATGACTGTGCATAGTTGCCCTAAATTCTACCTGAAAAACAGCAGAGCACTTCCTGTGTCTTAAGCCTAATAACCGTATGTGTGCAGCTCGAATAAGTAAAGTCTTGACTTTACCAAGATGGCTGTCTCCACACAGAGACACAATTTAGAACAAAGCGTGACAAGTTAGTAATGGGGAAAAGATCAGCTGCAGGGATAACACAGCCAGTACTTGTGGCTAGGCCTTTGCCTTTTCCTTTCTTAAAGGATAAGTTAACCTTTTGCAAAAATTAAAGAAATGCATAGTTATTAATATATTTTAAAAATATGCATTTCTTTAATATTTGCATTCAAACCTGGAAAGCATTGCAATCGTGATCACTGGACCACAGCTGCAAAGCCCAGGCTTCTGCACATTCTCTTCCAGGCAGAGCTCCGTACTGAGGTACGGAGTTTAAGTTAGGGAGAGATGGGGGGAAGGACGTCTGGACTTCAAAATGCATTAAATCACCTCATACGGCATACACCTGTCCTCGCTCTAGGTAGAGCTGCCCATAGTCCCGCACCTGCCTAGAGAGAAGATGGCTGGACGCCGTATGTGGTGATTTAATGCAGTTTGAAGTCCAGCTGCCCCATCTCTCCTAACTGAAACTCTGTACCTCCGTACCAGCTCTTTTTGCAGAAGGTGAACCTATCCTTTAAGTAAAGCTTCCACAATTCAGATCCTCTTTAAGAGGGAAGGTAAAGTGTTAGGGAGGGAGATTAAGCAGTGAGGGTTCACTTTAGGGGTTAGATGAATGTTAGGGTTAAGATGTGGATTTTAACAGTGGATTTGAAATGAATGGAGTTTCCTGCAGGAAAACCACATTCACTGTTTCGTTGGTTTGAGAACAAATTTCCATCCTGCTCCATCTATTTTATTTTTTTGTCACTATGGTTGAAAAGTGTTGAATTGACCCCATTACTATTAGAAATAAAATCAAACGAACATTGTAAAAACAAATTTTATCAAATAAAATTCTACTGGGGAATGACCAGCTTCAGTGCCAGGAGCTCTACACTGAAAACAAACAGTAATGAAAACTATCATACCATTATTTGCATACTTGTCCTGAGTCAGATATGACTATCAAAGCCAGAGGATCATCCAAGGACGTCAGCAACGGCAGCTTGTGTATTACCCTCACCAAAGATGTCTAAAAAGCATTAATTTCCCCTGAGTCTGGAAAGATGTAACAATTCAGATGACGAAATGGAGGATGCAAATAACCGAGATCATCTCTAATTTATAGATGCTTTGCAGTTCTTAAGAGTAGCAAGCACTGCAAAATACAACATTTCCCAGAACTGGCTTCACTGTAAATAAGATTTTCATTACTATTTTCTATATTTAGGCCTCCACACCTGCCCTAAATGCAATCTGATCATGGGGAGAAACACAGGTCAGGAGGTATTTATACGCACAAAGCCATTCACATCACAGCAGGACGCTGGCTTAGCAGGTGACAGGTGTTAGATGTTCGCCGCTCCTATAGGTTGCCAGTGGAGAGTTGTTCTATTGTGAAATGACATTCCCAAGGTTAACAGGGACTTCTATTACTATCAGTATATCACTGAACACAGCCGCTAATCAGTCAATTTCACGTCTGTTCTGGGTGCCGTCAGTATAATTCATTCATTTCATATGCTGGTAGGAGGAACATTTCAAATGCTGTTACAGGTAAAACTAACAGTAACGTGCTCTGCTGTAAAATCTTTTAATAATCATATGTAAATGTTATCGATGCAACTAGTTATAATGTCTTATAATCCTAATTTCTATGATTAGTTTATAATTATTAATAGATGTGCATGAAGACAGCTACTGTATATTGGTCCGTGACATATGCAGGCGCTGCTTCCTTCTTTGTAATGCTACAGAGTGGTTGTGCTTTCTCATGACTTGCAAGCAAGTTCATCAGACTGGTTTTTATGATCACAATGAACTACGCCAGCTTTACAATGCGATGAAATACAGATCTTCCTCTAGCGGTTACATATTTGTATATATTTAATGCTATAAAATATGGAAAAGCAAGCACATGAAATTGTGAATGTTGCAGCAAAAATCTAATTAAAGTAAAGTAAAGTAAAAAACCTTTTCCCTCGGATTAGGGAAGGGTTTAAACCCCTGTCTGATTTTTTGTCATCTGTGACCCATCTCTAAGGGTGGCAATACACTTTACAACCCTCGCAAGACTTTTGTCTTGTAAGGGTGGCAATACACTTTACAACCCTCGCAAGACTTTTGTCTTGCGAGGGTTGTAAAGTACGTAAAAAAACGTACGATCTGCCCATCTTGGACAGGCAGATCGTACGTGCGATCATCGGAAGCCCGCCCCCATGTGGGGCGGGCTTGCGATGACTGCAATGAGGGGTGGGCTTCCGATGACTGCAAACTGGCAGTGTGCGCACACCGGCCCGTTCGGCAGTTGTCGAACAAGCAGGCCACTAACTCGGCGAGAATCGTACGATTCCCGGCGGGTTTTCCAGCCTGCTTGTTCGACGGAAGAAGTGCGACCGTACAGTAGAAACGGTCGCACACCTTCCATACACTTTTATGCGATTCTCGTATAATTGTACAGTGTTTGGGCACCTTTAGATTTCCCTTCACTTCCTGTCCTGTAGATGCAACAAAAAGCAAAAGGAGATCTCTTCAAATTCAGGGAATTCTCCTGTAAGACATTTATTACTGGAACACGTGTCTGTCCCTACTGAAAGATTCCCCTTTATTTCTGTCCTACTAAAAATTTAAGATTTCCACCATCACTTTCATTTACAGTGGCAATGGGCACCAGAATACACAGAGAGGGGAATTCATCAAAACTGGAGCAGACAAAATCTGGAGCAGCTGTGCATGGCAACCAATCAGCTTATCTCTCCAGTTTGTTCAGTTAAGATTTAAAAAAGTAAAGAGAGAAGCTGATTGGTTGCCATGCACAACTGCTCCAATTTTGATAAATTCCCCCCAGAGTGCTTGAATCTGCCTTGCGGGGACACATACCTGATAGGGGCTCCACACCCCCAAAAGTAACATACAAATAATAAGTGAAGATACATGTGCACTGAAAGTAACCCAAAGCTTCACTTTAATACAGTATATCTGTGATAGTCAGAGTACTATATTAAAGGATAAGTTCACCTTTCTGACCGTGTTTCTTGTTAAACCCATATACAGAGTGTAACATAAAACATGGTCAGATCACAATCTACCTCCCTCACACCCCCACTTATCTGAATCATGGGGTTCTTCTCCCCGCAGACTTGTGCTTATTTTTTAATCTACCCACACAGCTGCATCTTCCATTCACAGATCCAAGTTCCACCATGGTAGAGGCACTTGTAGTCCTCCACGGAATACAGGTGATAACCAGTGCATAGTAGTCATCACAAGGTACCAGATCCTACACTACTTGCCACAACTTAGTCTATTGGCAATGCCACTAGATTTCCTGACATATCCCATCTCCCGGCTTTGAGGAGGGAAGGAATGAAAGGATGCCTGTTTTATTACTATTTCTGCTTTTAAAACATTTTGATTGGAAAGGTTCAATATTGCAAAGAGCAAAGACCACTTACAATGTGCAGCAAAACAAAATAACCAATCGGGTTTCACCTATCATCAATAAGAACAATTAAAGATAATTGTTTAGAATAGGTGGGTGGCCCTTTCTCATCATATCTGCTCTTTGCCCTAATCACAAAGATCCAATTTGTTCTCTTCTGATTCCCATTCTGAATAAAATGTGTAAATTTGTTGAATCTTCTGCTCTCGCCTGTCTCTTGCTCTCCGTTTCATTGCTTTGTTTATGCTTTCATTTCAGCAAGGCTTACATCAACTGCAATAATCACAAATTAAATGGATCCGCTGGCTTCCAGACCCACAGGACCACTTTACCTTCTGCTCACAGGGAATAGCTAGGCTCCGGGCTATTAACACCATTTGTGAGAAATGAGTAATTTCTTTTCATATGCAAAAGATGGAATATTGAATTTAAATGAGAGAATGACAGCCCTGGAATAGATGCAAGCAGATTGCCATGAAGTGGCTAAATAAAAGGCTTCCACTTTTTTTTTTACAGCTACAACTAGATTGTTTGCAGCCACCCAAAACAGATTATCTGACAGGAACTCAGAGGGAGCCCCATCTGTTAGACTCCAAGTATCCATAGCTTCCCGCTGAACGTTATCGCTAAAACCTGTGGCGTATCTCCAGCTTCAAAACAGACAGCAAATTGGTGGGATAGGAAAAGCGCTCGCAGGAAGTCAGTAAGTGGCAAGCAGCGATTACCGAAGTCAACCAGCTTGACTCCTCCTTCTGTTGTCAGAAGTATATTGTTCCCTTTCACGTCACGATGGATGATTCTATTATTGTGCAAGTGCTGGAGACCCTAAGCAATAAAAAAAAAAATATAAAGTAATAATTACTCCCCTGTTTTATATAATTACTCTGCTATTAGGATGTTAATGGTAAGTATATTGTTCATGCAGCAGGAACATCTGGCCAGGCACACACACGAATGATGCTCCCATGCTGGGATCACAACAGGTATCTTATAGTGAGATTAAGCAGGATATCACACAAATTGAAGATAAATGGTACAGACAGACCTCAGACAGCTACTGCACACTAGAAGATGGCTAAGCAACAAGCAGAACTCCAAGTGCCAGCATGCCCCAACAAGAAGGGGTTCTCCATATCTTCTGGCTTTTACTGGGTTGTGCAAATAACTAGCCCTGGGACCTTTTTAAAGGGCGGCCTGCTTAAAGTGGCACTAAACTCAGGAGTGAAATCTTAAAAATTAGGGCTGGTAATGATTAAAATGTTCGTGTTCGATTAATCAAAATTTTTTAAAATCGAGTAATTTCGATTACTTATAACGCACATACAGATCAGTAATAAAATGAACTAGGATCACACTAATCCAGCATGTTATTAATCTCACGTGCCCCACTCAATATGGCCGCTGCTTGAGTGGGGCAACTCAGAATAATAACGTGCTGGATTAGTGTGATCCTAGTTCATTTTATTACTTCATTGTGGTGCTGTATGTGTATAGGCCAATGCCTTGGCTGGCGCTCGTGCAGAAAGTTTCTTGGGCAAACTCACCAGCCCAAGTGGCTCCGTCGGCTAACGAAGGGGGGAGGAGTCCGGTGACATCACCATTCTCCTCCCCTTCGTTAGCCGTCACTGGACTCCTCCCCCCTTCCCTTCGTTAGCCGACGGAGCCACTTGGGGGAGGAGTCCGGTGACGTGATCGCCGACGGGACTACCGGAAGCCGGCGGAGAGGTGAGTGTTTTCATTAGCGATCAAAATAATTTTAATCGATCAAAACGTTTAACGATTAATCGAGAAACTAATCTTTAATTTACACTGCCCTATTAAAAATGCATTCAAGTACCCTAACTATTAACAAAAATGTATCTTATTTGTGTATCACTCAGCTGTAGATCCTCAAATCATCTCTGAATTGGTGCTGACACTGTCCTTCCTTCTGGAGGGGGGCTACTTTTGTTCCCAATGGTCCCTGTGTGTGTTGTAAAGTAGTCACCGCTCCAAGCTCACTCTCATGATGGACTACAATCTCAATACAAATTAGTAAACTAAACATGAGATTGTAGTCCCACATGGGATCAAACTTGGTTTGGTGACTACTTTACAACACACACAGGGACCATGAGGGACAAGAGTAGCCACCCTCCAGAAGGAAGGACAGTGTCGGCACCAATTCAGAGATGATTTGAGGATCTACAGCCGAGTGATACACAAATAAGATACATTTTTGTTAATAGTTAGGGGACTTGAATGTATTTTTAGGTTTTAACTCCCGAGTTTAGTTTCCCATTGAAACAAATATTGCAGTTTGAGGAAGCTGGCTATGAATATCAAATCATCTACTGACTTTTTATATATGTTGGTAGTTCTGTAGTTCAAGCTCTCGAGTCTGAATTTGTTGTGAGCTGCCTACCAAAGGCCAGTGAGCTCTCTAAATGATCATTTGAACTGTCCCATATGAATAAGCACTGAAGTCCCAGCACAATGTTTCTCTGTTGTATTCTATATACCCTGAGGTCTTTATTATTGTCAATGTTAGGGAAACTAACCCTCTCTATTTGTCTTGGTGATCACTCTTACTAGGACAGAAAGTGAGGCAAAATCCCAAATTCCAAGTTGTCACCAGAAGAGGAAAAGGAAGGAAATCTTTCAATGGGGGCACTCGTTTCCAAGAAAAATTGTCTTAAGACCCACTTCAGAGAGATTGACAAGTCACTTTCTGTTGTGCCTACAGACAAGAAGTGAAGGGAAATGTCCCCAGGTGGCCAAAAACCCCCCAAAACTGACAGTTTTTTTTATTATTCCCTACTCTGCCAAAAATGACAAAAGGTTTTAGCTTTAGATACTCTTTTAATGTATTTTACATCTAGGAGTGATATTCCACGGAATGAGGAGAAGAATGGGAAGAGATGTTTCTGTTGGAAAGTCTGAGACATATAAGCCGTCTGTGAGTGATTTGACCCCGCAGCTTCCAACTCCAAGCTATGTAACAATTATATCAAACCTAAATTATCCCATTTAGGTTTGTAGAGGAACTGTATTATCCCATTTAGGTTTGTACAGTATGTCTGTAGAGGAACAAAAAAAATGATGGCATGGTCATGGGGTGGTCTGGAAGGAGACATACAGTATAAGGGACCAGAATGCAAGAGTACCCTCCTTCACATTGATGACCATCTGGGCCACTTTTGAAATGATTAAATTATAGCTTATTAAACCCTAAGCAGATATTACAAAATGAAATGCATGTTACATAAAAATACTATGAGATCCTAAATTTTATTTTGAGCCTAGTATATTTCTTATGAACATCAGAACTCAGTGTGGGATAGGGTGGGGCAGGACCCTTAGCAAATCAAGGCTCTACTGCTTTATATAGTGCTGTCTGTTTCCTTTCCTGAACATGCTTAGAGGAGGGGCAGATGGACTGTTAAAGGAGGGTCCAAACCAGGGGCGTAACTAGAAATCACAGGGCCCCATAGCAAAATTTTGTATGGGGCCCCGTGATTGCTAGTTATGCCACTTGCAGAGCCCACCATAGACTCTCTATAGTGGGCTCTGCAGCGTCTCAGTTGGACTGCACGCCTCTTACCTGTCAGCACTGTCTAACTCCGTGGTCCCCGGGCTCCCGCCTCCTCTACCGTCCCCGGGCTCCGCCACCTTCTATCGACGGGCCCCGCCTCCTCTTACATCACTGGCCCCACCTGCTCTTAGATCGCTGGCCGGTGATGTGAGAGGAGGCAGGGTTGCTCTTAGGCAGCCCCTGCCTCCTTCTGTCCTGCAAACGCTGGTGTAACCGGCCTATTCTGCCGCATCTGCTGGCTGTCACTGACACAACTCCGCAGGGCTGTGAGGGGGAACGTTCTCCCTCACAGCTGCTGCTGAGCTATGTCAGTGACAGCCAGCACCCCAAGACGCCATAGCAACCCAGGCGGCCCACACGGCATCGGAAAGATGCCCTGGCCGGGCCCCACTGTGCCCGGGCCCCATAGCGGCCGCCTGGGTCGCTATGGCGATTGTTACGCCACTGGTCCAAACTATTCCTTTGCTCCTTCAGCTTCCTTCAGTTTATGCCTGGCACTGATCTATGGAGATAAATGTACTGCCTGTCCAAAAAAAAAAAAGGCAAACTCTCGAATATTTTGTTGGACCACCTTTAGCTTTGATTACAGCACGCATTCTCCATGGCATCCTTTCAATAAATGTATGCAATGTCATGTTTATTTCCATCCAGAGTTGCATACATTTTTTACTAAGATCTTGTAGTGATGATGGGCCAGGCGGACCACTGCATAATGTCTTCTCCAGCACATGCCAAAGATTCTCAATGGGGTTTAGGTCTGTACTCTGTGGTGACCAATCCATGTGTGAAAATAATGTTTCATGCTCCCTGAACCACTTTTTAACAAGTAGAGCCCCATGAAACCTGGCATCGTAATCTTGAACATGCCCGTGCCATCAGGAGCATTCAGTATATTCAGGTAGGCAGCTTATGTAATTTTTTTGGGGACATAATGTTGCTGAACCTAGACCTGGCCAACTGAAGCAACTCCAGATTATAACACTTATACAATGGAAGGATCTTACCTATTTGCTTAGCTAAATCCAGGTGGTGACTTTTTGTTTTTGGCCAGGCAGTGTACATTGATGTAGATATCCTCAACAGGGCTCCAGGCTTTGGAATTTGACACTTTCCACCAGTAGCCAAAAAGTGAGAGAAGAGCAATGACTTTAAGGTGACATAAAAATGTATATATCTAAGAATCCACAGTAAGACTCTGGATTCTTAGATATACAGTTTTATAGAAATATACTGTATATGTTTTTTAGAAAACTATATATGTTTTTGCACCAATTTTCACACACCATCCTGCCAGAGGCTGTGCAGCACTGCTCTATGCTATGGAAATTGTCTTACCAGTAAGGCTCCATATAGAATGTAGGAAATGATGGCTTCGTCTAGTCTCTGTCCACACGTCAGTATGCTCTTTACCAGATCGGTGACAGATCCACCATTACACAGCTGAAAGAAAACACATTACAATTTCATTTAGAATCAGGTACAGTTCATTTGCTATTATACAGAACAAGTCATTGTTTACAAATGTATTCTAACTATACAAATGACTCATGTTTTATATCAGTGCAGTCAATAATAGTCTAAATATGCAATCCAATTGTATGTAGGCAACATAATAATTACATTGAAATTAACTTATGCAAATTACATTTTAGATATAATTAAATCTTGCACTTATAAATAAACTTGCATTTTGTATTTCAGGAAATAAAATATAGAAATATATAGAATAATATATATATGCATATATAGCAATATCTAGATTGCTATTTTTTTCATAAATACTTTGGGGGGAATTTACTAATTCTGGAGCAGACAGAATCTGGAGCAGCTGTGCATGGGAACCAATCTGCTTTTATCTTCAGTTTGTTCAGTTAAGCTTTGAAAGCTAGAAGCTGACTGGTTGCCAGGAACAGCTGCTCTAGATTCTGTCTGCTCCAGTCTTAGTAAATTCCCCCCTTTGCATCTTTTTTATATCTTGTTTTTGTTGTAGATACAGCTTTCCCTTAGCCCCCTACAAAGCCCCCTAAAAAAATGTGGCAACTGCTCCTGATCTCAAAGCAGAGTTACCAATCTCATGTAAACTGTGCCTCATGTAAAATTTTCATGTATGGTTCTCCAGACGAGGTGGTAACACAAGCAAACCCAATCCAACTCTTAAAACCCCTCCACTTTGCACAGTATTTCCCTTCTCTGCCTACAGAAGCAAATTAGCCGCATGCCTGCTCAAGCGCATATCTCAGCAAACAAGATAAGTAAGTGATGCGATAAAAGTTTTAGTACAGAATAACACTTTTGGTAGTTAAATAGAAACTTGTCTTAGATATCTGTACATCAAACCACAAATAGGGACATCTGAGGAGGAAAGACGGAAAGAGGGATTTGGTTCCAAAAGAGGGACCGTTGGGAGATATGCTCAAAGGGGATGGTAATACACAGAGAGGGGAAATGATCAAAACTAGAGCAGACAAAATCTGGAGCAGCTGTGCATGGCAACCAATCAGCGTCTCTCTTTCATTTTCAAATATTAACTGAACAAACTGAAAAGAGACGCTGATTGGTTGCCACGGGCCATAAGGTCCCTAGATGCAGTGACATAGTTGCAACTGTTTTTACAACAACACTATATCAGCGAGAATATGGGCCCAGTGAGACTCCATTCTTCATACAATATTTGTGATCAGCGATGCCAAAGTGAGATAAAGAGACTGTGGAAAGGAAGAAAGAGAAAACAAGAGAAAATGGGCAAAAAAATACAGGTAGTGAAAAAAAGAGAAATTGCGAGATATGAAATTATAAGCCCACGGCATGTGCCCTTTAAAAACTCACAGAGCTGTGTCATTTTTAGAAACTCTAGCTCCATGTGACGAAAATGTCAGGCAGGAAAAGATTGATGTACTTGATAACAATGAGGCAACAAATTACAGTCATTTGAGGCGTTTGCTGCATGGCTGCCTTCACTGGCAGGCAATATAAAATAGACAGCAGCCATATCTCTATACTTAGACCTGATAGCATGCTCTGCCAGCAGCTGAGATGAAACATCCTGATTCAGAATAGCAGTTCTTCTTGCAAGCCGTTTCCATTAGTGTGCTGCCATACATCAAAAGAGGTGATAAAACGCAGGAATTAGGGCTCTGGTGAATGTGTTTTTACCCACAACATTAGCTTCTAAACCATCCTTTTCCAGTCCCTGTAGTGTCTCTCTTGATGTTTTTGCATGTTTTCTAATTCCATGTTAAAATGATGCTGAAGCATGGAGTCGATTGCTTCTATAAATTATATGCCATTATTTTGCACTGTGATTTTTTTTCCCTCAGCGCATTAGTTCAGCCATTTTGTAGGCCAGCCTGACCTCGACCTGTGCTAAGTGATAGAGTAGAATTACTTTACTGCCTCAGTCACAAAGGCAGTGATGAATGTACAAAATGAAGTAACCCATAACTACTACACTATTAGCTGAGTTGGATACAGTAACAGGAAATCCAAATGATTGCTATAGGTTATTACACCTTACGTGTCATCAATAAATCCAAGTTGAAGCTTAACTCTTTATTACTGTAATGCCATCAGGCTGCATGAACAGTAATACATGTGGGTGTCCTATTTTTTCATATTTGTAATTAACTAGGGTGCCGCATCTACGGTTAAATGCCCTGTGTGGGCAACTTGCTGGAGATTCAGATCACTGCTTAAAGAGTAATACCATTTTTGTTGAGAAAAAAACAATCCTCACCGTGATCTGTGTACATTGCAATGATTTTATCAAACTGTTGCAGTTATCTACCTGTTTCTGTTCTGAAGAAAAAGCTGTTTGTTTCTCCAGGTCCTTTCTAAACTAATTCCTGATTCTGGGTTCATTATAACCTGCTGATGAACTTCGCGTGTTGTAATCAGGAAAGGTGCAGTGTCTGCATCCCTTTAGCTGTAATTAACACCTAGGGAGTATGTTACTAAAAATCAAATTCCTAATGCAGTGGGTGCCAAAAATTATACTCGTATCTTAGTGCAGACTTCTGGGAAAATCAGTCATCCAATCACAGAAGCAGGAAGTGACAGTTTTGGAGGCCTTCTGTACACCAACTGTGTACAGAGCACCTCTAGGTCGCCATAATGCATTGCATTTTCTGATAGATTTAGAACATTACAGCAGCTACAGTTTTAAATGGATAAGTCATTTATAATAACATAAAATTAATAACTGTGCAACAATTATATATGTTATATTAATTTTTTAAAGATTTTTTTCATTTTATATTTTTAAAGTGGAGTTACCCTTTAATACAGTGGGCATTGGTTCAGATAACTTGCAGCCCGACACACCACCTGCAAATTCTCCAAACAGCAGCACTCATGTTCTCCGAGCAGTGAAGTTGATTGGTGCACTATGCCAGTGGCTGTAGCAAATAGTGCAATAAAAAAATATAAAAGTAACCCAAAAATGTATAAAAATGCAGCCTATCTGCATTACCTTAAAAAAAACTGAGCTTCAACTGGTCTATAAAAACTGGGCTAAAAAAATTCAGAAAACCCAGTAGCAACGTAACAAGATTAAAGAAAACTTGTAATGTTAAATATATTGTGGCAGCCATTGCCGACCTGTTTTTAAAATCACTAGTTGTCTGCTGTCATGACTATGGCTTTCACTGACCTGAAACAAGCATGCAGTAACTGATCAGGTCATTAACACTTTAAAGTCTTTATCAGCAAGACAGACAGGCAACTAGCATTTTTAGAAGCAGATCAGTAATGACAGCCTCCATATTTCTTTTTTTACATCTTCCCTTTATTATAGCATTTCAAATGTATGTGAATAATTAAAGGGGTTCTAAACCCTCCGTTTTTTTGGCTATATCTACTGCTAGCAATACTGCTAGCAAGCAGTAGATATATGCAAAAAGTTTTGTTTTTTTTAAACGCTTTAACAGCGGTTTACACTTAAGGTGCCCATAAACCTTACGACTATCGCAAGACTTTTGTCTTGCGATGGTCGTATGCTTCTTGAAAGCCCGTACGATCTGCCCACCTTGGACGGGCAGATCGTACTTGCGATCATCGAAAGCCCGCCCCGCTCGAAAAAAGGGTCATGTAGAAGCTACAAGCGATATTGAGCGATATTAAGCGACGAGATGGAATGGATTGGAGAAGCTACATAGAGCGATATCCCGTGGAAATATGAGCGATAT